ATGGGTCAACACAGTAAAACCCCATCTCTACTAAAAATACAAAAATTAGCTGGGCGTGGTGGTGCACACCTGTAGTCCCAGCTACTTGGGAGGCCGAGGCAGGAGAATTGCTTGAACCCAGGAGACAGAGGTTGCAGTGAGCCAAGATTATGCCACTGCACTCCAGCCTGGGTGACAGAGCAAGACTCCATCTCAAAAAAAAAAAAAATATTGAAGAAGCAGGTTTTAGGCTGTGACTCTTGGAATGACCCTCAGAACAATAAGAATCAGCCAGTGGGGGAATTATTGCCACTGAGATCAACGCTGGAGCCGGGCAATCTAGGCTGAAACTCTAGGAACTAACACCCAAAACATCGAGATGTGACTGTTCCTGAGACTCAGGAAATCAAAGATAAACACTGGGAAAACTTAGAAGAAATCCATGACTCTCCTGAACCCACAGTGAAAAACAGAAGCTGTAGGGAGGCCCAGCTTCAGCCCTGCCTCACCAGTCTTGCTCCACATCAGGGGCCAGCAAACATGTGCTAGAAAGGGCCAGAGAGTCCAGATTTGTAGCTTTGTGGGCCATAGACTCTCTGTCACAACCACTCAACTCTGCCATTACAGTGTCGAAGCAGCCAAAGCAATAAGTAAATGAACGAGTATTCTGTGCACCTGTTTACAAAAACAGACTTGGTCCCTGGGCCATAGTTAGCCAATCTTCACTCTAGTGAGTCTAAATGGAACTACTTTACCTCCAGAATCCTAGCTACAAAGGAATCTTGAAAATGTATTTTTTAGTTTTCTAATTAAATGGACCTGAGACCATGAAGGAGTACCACATTCCTGTCTGATGAAACACATTGCTCCTGCTTCTTTCTATTTATTTGAATGTAGAGAGAGCATTAGCCAATACAAAAGGTGCATACCAGGAGACAAGGGCTGTGTTGATTTGCTCCACCAAAAAAGCTACCTCTTGAAGAATTGCTACAGCTATAGTCACATATTATTACATGTATGATAATTTATTGTCATTCTCCAAGAATCACCTGTCCTCTGCATGAAGAGGACACGAGAGTCACCTCCTCTGCATCTTGCAAGACTCTGATGGTGCACCATCTTTGAAATTCACCAGACATGTTTGTCGATTTTGGTTTTACAGGGAAAGGTAGTTCCAGGGGTTTCCATTAGACCATTTCTACCAGAAGGACCCTAACCTCACCCACCACATTGATAAGGAAATCTTTGTGGAGATTTGAGCAGTTGTTGAGTATTTCTATCTCAACTTTACATTCAGGAGCTAGAAAAATAACCACAAGATGGGCTTCCAGAGCCACTGGCCTACTGTGAAATAGACTTGGGCCAAAATTCCATTTCTCCCCTGACCATCTCACCTCCCACGTCAATCTCCAATCTGGTTTGGATTCATATCAGCCCAGAGCCTGTGCCTACGAATCCCTGAAAATCTGGGTTTCTCCCTTTCCGCTGTGCACGGCCACCCTAGTTAATGGCTTCACATAACTTCTTAGATGGTAGGAGGAAGATAGAGTATGCTCTTGTGGCAGTTTCTCTAGGGTCTGGGCTCAAGGGGAACCAACCACCTCTTCTCTCAGGGACTTTCCATAGTGTCTGCTCACTCAAGACTCAGGAGTGTTAACTCAAGTGCTTTTCAGCTTATAGATCAGATAGGTTGTCTGTTGATTTCATGGACACCATGACCCCACCCTGGAAACCTGTGGGCCCAACCATCCTGAGCACCACTTGGCCCTGCTGCTGGTCATGGTGGTCACTCTCATCTTGTCACTGACAGCAGAGTTAACTCTTCTGGAGTTAAGGCTTGTGAAGGAAAGTTAGAGGTCCAGGTCACCAACAGATGAATCTATCACTCAACTGACTATGACAGGAATATAAAGCTAGCTTTTACCTTTTTAATTTGTTAAATAAAAGAACTGTGATTGTATTTAACACAGACTTCACGCTTGATTTCTTCTCCTATTGACATATGACTGATATCTATGAAAAACTGTGTTTTTGTTGTATTTCGGTGCTTATGGCAAACTCAAAATTTGGAATTTAAGTTGTCACTATTTGGGGTTTTGCCTCTTTGCTGAGACACATGACAAAGTCAGGGGTAAACAGGCTTTATGAGGCATTTTCTGTCAATAGTCAGAACTAGAGTCCCTTGATGAATCACAAATCTATTTAGCTGAAGATTTATGGTATCTTATCATGGAACCGTTGTGATTTCCAACTCTGAGACAGACTGTAAGGCTCTGTGATTTGGAACGACTGATCTGCAGCAGACAGATTCCATAAGGCTCAACACTGAAGAAGCGTGAAGCAGGGGAGGCGAGACCTGGGCCCAGAACCAGGTCTAGGGGAGACCCACGTTCGGGCTTGAACCCCAATATGCCAGTGTCATTATTCCTCTGCAGAATGGGTTAGTACTGCCCAGGATGAGGATGGAGTTTGTCCCCACAGGAAGGAATGCAGCCAACAGGAATGGCTTTGTGCTCCAGCACAAATGAGTTCAGCAAAAAAGCACAGACTCTGGAACTAAACTAGTTTGAATTCCCACCTCCAACATTTCCCAGAGAAATTACTTACTTTGTCTCTAAAATGAGGATGAGGGAGTTCCTAACTTACAGGATTGCTTTGAGAATTAAGCAAGTTAACTCATGTGAAACGCTGCGAGCAGTGGCTGGCACATGGTGAGTTCAATGAATCAGCTACACCATCTATATGGGGCGACAGGGCAGGAATGGGGACCCAGAAGAGGAAAGCAGAGTAGCAGAGGGTAGACCTTACTCCCCTGAGCTATCCCTGCAGGGGTGTTTGGATGGGATTGCACCTGCTCTGCCAATCCTTCTGTCTTTAATAATTGAGCTTCTCTCCCACGGTAGGAAAACATTGAGCTCCGCCACCCACTCAGGTGATACGCTCCAGGCACAGGTGTTAAGGAGTTGCAGTTATCTTTCAGGTGGCCTCTAGGTGTCTCTCGGGCCTGAATATAGGAGAATAGCCCATTCCACTGACGTCTCTCTTCCCAGCCCTTCTTCTTTCTTTCCTTCTTCCCTTCCCCCCTTCTACTCTTGACATTTGTTAAACTAAACTGAATCCAAGCAGAAGTTGCATATCGTCTTCTAGAAAGTCCAAAACACTCTAATTCAAGTTACACTCCCCAAAAGCATCCAAAAAGCTGCTGAAAGAAATGTGCATGGTCCCAGGCAGAGTGACCCATAGTGAGTTATCCCCTCATCTGTTGTCCTGGGATGTATTCAGGGTTCTCAGGGGCCACTCTCCTGCCACAGACAGTTTCTTCGAGCTCAGGTAACCCCAGCCTAGGCAGCCATATAATATAATGCCTTAGCACAGCTCACTCAGGGATCCATGCTTATCAGGAACATGGGCTTGGTATGAAGAGACACAAACACTCTGGAATTGTACGCAGAATGGACCACCCAAGGCTTTGTTGGTATCAACACATTCTAGAGTATCACTCTGTTCATCCATGGAACCAAAAGCCTCCCATCAGGCAGAAGAGATGGTCAAGATGACGGGAGGGGACCATCAAAGGAGGAGGGACACAGAGAGAAGATAGACGGCACATGGCAATGGAGGACTGGCTTAGTCCACCCCTGCCTCATGAGAACAAGAAAAGATGATAATTGTTGTTGTTAGAAAGTCATCTGCTTGAAGGCACTGGAGAACAAACAAGCCAATTAATAGTTACAGAACATGATCTGGGAGCAAAAGGAAGGACAGAGAGTGAACCTAGCACCTGTAGCCAATCTTCCCAGAGACACTTGCTGCTTCCAGAAGCAGTCCAGAGGCAAGGAGAGGGAGCAGGAGAGCTCCTGGAAGCCTTTCAGTGCAGCGGGCATAAGGTCTGGAGTTCAGGGCCCACAAAGGGCAGGGAAGGCTCCTAAACCACCCATTCTCAGTTGGGACCATGAAAGGCTACATCCTATGACCAAGGGTGATCCATTTGTTAATCAGCCCTGTGGGCACTGAATCCCAGTGTCAAATCACTTGTGAAATTGGATTATGGGGAACCTGAGTTGCTCAGATCCCAGTTGCCAACCAGGAGAAAATACAAATCTTGCCTGAAGGGAGATAACATCAGACTAGGCCTCAACCTGTTTCTGTTACTCTTAATAAACAATATTGCCATTCAGTCAGAAATGACCCCATATTCTCAAAACCAAAGCATGGGAATGTAAAGCAAGAAAGGCAATTTTAAAAATAGAAGCAATATCAAATCATCAAGTTGTACACCTTAAATCTATACAAATTTAAGAAAAGAAAGACAATAGAAGCAAACTCTGGTATTGCGCCCAAAATGGAGTTATCAGAACTGACTTTAAAACAACTTTGTAAAGCCTACATCAAAGAAAGAATACCAGAATGAGCTCTCATGTACAAATTATGCACCTTCACCAATTATGTATACACACACACACTTTTTTGGAGTATTTAAAAATAGATCACAGACATAGTATCATTTCCCCTCTAAGGACTTCAGTATATAATTTTAATGACCTAACCATTGTACCATTATCACACCTAAGAAAATAAACAAGAGTTTCTCAATAGCATTTAAAATCCAGTTTGAGTCACAGTCTATAAATTAACTACCTCAATATGTTTAAGCAGGTTATGAATAAGACTAAAAATTTCAACAGAAAACTGGAAACTTTTAAAGAAAAACAATGGACATTCTAAACCTGAAAAATAAAATTGTTGATATTAAAGCTTATAATGGGCTAAATAGCAGATGAGATACAGGTAAGGAGAAAATATGTGAATAGGAATATAAATTAGAAGAAAATATTCTAAATAAAGCACAAAGAGACAAACAGATGTGAAACATAAGGGAAAGGGTGAAAAACAAGAGAACACAGCGTACTGTTCAGAGGTAACAGCACAGACTGGAGCAGAAGCAACCTTAAGAGATACTGGGTGAAGATTTCCCCAAACTAATGAAAGATATTTCATTGAAGACAATTTATGCCCCTTACCAGATGCACTCAGACTCTCCTGACTCCAGGGACCTGCACCCCTTGTTTGTGGAGGTCTCCAGCTGCTTCTGCCCCAGCTGCCACCACATCACCTCCAGGGCCATTGGGGTCTTGGCCTTACTCCATGAGGTGAGCCCGGCTCCTCCTCATCCCATGGAGCTGTTTGATCACTGCTCAGCTAATCTGGAAAATAATAATGAAATGATAGTTAGAAAATTCCCATATATTTGGAAGATAAGGGATAAATTTCTAAAGAACTCAAGGATCAATGAAGACAGTACAATGCAAATTAGAAATTATTTTGAACTTGATAACAAAAATGTAAACACTTGTGAGATGCAGCTAACACGTGCTTAGAGGGAAATTTTAAAACTTAAACAGATATATTAAAGAACATAAATAACTAAATATCAAGTGGCAAAGTATCCATCTAAAGAAATTAGAATGAAATTACCAAATTAATTTTTTTTAAAGACAAAGTTGGAGAAAGAGAATAAAAAGAAAGGATAGAAATTAACGTAATAGAAAATAGACATCTAATACAAAGGCTCAATAAAGCCAAAGTTCTTTCTTTGAAAGAAGCAACTGGTCAAACTCCTGCTAAGACTTATCAGTGTAGAAAAGAAGAGACAAATCCCAAGAATCAGAAATGGAGGGTGGGGGGGCACATCACTATAGGTCCTGGAGATAGGAACATGATAGTAAGATGATAATTACAATAGACCAATAAACTTAAATTTTTAAGAGAAAAGTAAACAAATTCCTAGGAAAATCCAACTCACTAAAGCTGACTCCAGAAGAAATAATAAACATGGATAATCCTGTAATATTGAAGAAATTAACACCATAAATTCAAACCTTCCCTTAGAGAAAACTCAGGACCCAAATGGCTGCATCAGCGAAAAACGAATGCCAATCTTACACAAACTCCTCCAGAGATCAGAAATCAACGAAGCCCCCAGGAACCTGGTTTCTGAAGCCTGCATGACCTTGACACCAAAACCAAACAATGTCATTGTAAAAAAAGGAAAAGAACCGGCAAATTCCTCTCATATATAGAGATGCAAAAATACTTTTTACAGGGAAGGGAAGCAAGGTGGGGGGGATGAAGAAAAGTTGATTCATGTGTACAAGAATATCGTCAGAAGGAATAAGTTCTAGTATTCTATAGTACAGCAGAGAAATTACAGTTAACTATAATTTATTTTATGTTTCAAAATGGCTAGAAGAATTGTAATGTTCCCAACACAATGAAAATATAAAGTCTTGAGATGGTGGATACTGCAGTTACCCTGATTTGATCATTACACAATGGGTACAGGTATCAAAATATCATATGTACCCCCAGAATATGTACAGCCACGATATATCAACAAAAATACAAACAACATTTTTTTAAAATAAATAAGTGATGATTGAGAGAGACGGGGGACTTTCTGGAGCAAAGAGGCAGGGTCCTCCTCTTCACTGCGGAGGTTTGTCTGGAGGGCAGCTTTGGCTGGCGGGTTTGGAGCATTCACAGAGTGCCTTGTCCTCCCTCACCACCTCCTGCCCAGCAGCCTGTATCACATAGGCCTTGTTGCCATCTGTGGTCTGATTCCATCTGCTTTTATTTGTGGTTTGGGAGACACCTTATCACCTCATTTTGTTATAAATGCTATTCATAGATAATGAGTTTTTATTATTTCAATTGCTCTGTCTCGATTTGTTGAGGGATTCCAAACATTCACAATTATGCCACCACTGCTGCCTTCTTACTCAGGGTTTAACCCATGCCTTTAATATCAATGCTAGTCCATAGTATGTATGCTGCATTTTTTTTACAGCAGTTCCGTAGATATTCCATGGATAAATATTCAGATTGTGTTCTGTGTTTTTCTATTATAATAAATGCACAACAATATCTTTGGGCATATTTCTATTTTTTTAATTTTTGTAAAACATATTGCTAAAAGTGGGATTTCTACATCATAGAGTTAACAGATACTGTCAGATGACTTCCCCTAACATTTGGGGCAATGCACACTCCCATCTGTAAAATCAGAGAGTACAGTTTCTCTAAATCCTTTCCAATATTGGATCCTATAAATTTTCTCCAATTTGTTAAAATTTGATAGTAAATTTGGCATTTTGCTGTTTTAATTTTAATTGTCCTAATACTAATGAGGTCGAGAGTTTTAATTTTCTTTTACTTCTTGCATTTTCTCTTGCCTATTCATGTCCTTTGATATTTTTCAACTGGATCTTTATTTTTCCTTTTCTGAAGAAGTTCTTTGTATATGAGAGATATTAAACCTTTGTCCACATATAGTGCAAATGTTTTACCCTGTCATTTGCTATTTGACTCTTTCTGATGTTTTTTGCCATATAGAAATGATTAACTTCTATCGTGAAACCAGCCACTATCTGCCTATATGTCCTTTGAGGTTTGTTTGTTGCTTGAGATGGCCTTTTTCACCCCAATGTTAGGCAACATTCTTCTATATTTTCTTTTAATACTTGTGTGGGTTTGTTTTACACTTAGTTATTTGATATGCTTTGGATCTGTGTCCCCACCCAAATCTCATTTTCAATTGTAATACCCAATATTTGGAAGTGGGGCCTAGTGGGACGTAATTGGATCACAGGGATGGCTTCTCATGGTTGAGCACCATCCCCTTGGTGCTGTCTCCTGATAGAGTTCTCATGACATCTGGTTGTTTGAAAGTGAGGGGAACCTCCCTGCTTTCTCTCTTGCTCCTGCTCCTGTCCTGTAAGACATGCCTATTCCTCCTTTGCCTTCCGCCATGATTGTAAGTTTCCTGAGGCCTCCCCAGCCATGCTTCTTGTGCAGTCTGCAGAACCGTGAGCCAATTAAATCTCTTTTCTTTATAAATTACCCAGTCTCGGGGTATTTCTTTAGAGTCGTGCAAAAATGAACTAATACATTATTTAAACTTGGATTTTTTGTGCGCGGAACAAGGTAGGAGTCTATCTTTGTTTCCTTTCAAGTGACTGAGAATTAATTCATTTCCACCTCCTCCTTACTAATGAAATCCCAAACTTGTTCAGGACAAAAACTCTCTACCGTATTCTTCAGAGAAAGATAATCCTAATCCAGAGATTACATTAGCTTGTCTAAGCTCATAGCTCTTTCCAGAGACTGGCTCACAAGTGAACCAGTTCTGGTGGAAAAGATGTGAGGAGTGTTGTGCTGGGGGATTTGGGGAAGGTTCTCTCATGCTCTTCTGAGTCCTCGTGAGACGCCATCATCTCTCTTCCTCAGGGAAGGGGCTCTGAGTGGGTATGAGGCCTGGGGGCGCTATGGCATCTGCCTACCTATGCAGGAGGGGTTGGCACAGAAGAAGCACTGCTGACAGACTCTCTGGGAGTGGAGGCAGAGCCATCAGACAGCCCGTTCTGAAGGCCCGCATCTCCACGGTTCCATCCTCCTTAAAACTGCGGAATAGCCTTCCTGTCTAAGCGTGTCTCGTTACATTCATTTTCATTTACTTGATAGCTTTTATTGTTATTATAAATTGGCAGTTTTTCATTTAATTTCTATCTATTGATATTATCTTTAAAGATATTAATTTTATGTTTTATTTTGTGTGCAAAATATCTTTTGAATGCAACAGTTTTTAAAATCTGGCCTGTTGTATTTTCCAAGCCTGCAATCCTATTGCCTACAAATAAAGATAATTTTGATCTTTCTATTCTAACCTTGGTATGACTTACTTATTTTGTATTTTATTACATTAGCTAGACTCTCAAAAATAATGTTGTTTAATAATGGTGATGGGGGCATTGCAGTCATGTTCCACATTTCAGTTGTTTAATATTTCACAATGTGTAGTTTTTTAATGAACCACCTTCATTATCTCACAGTAGCTTCCTCTTAGTTCTATTTTATTTACAGCTTTTGTGATAAATAACTGAAAATTACTCAAATGTGATTTTTAAATCTGTTGATTTAATTATATGTTTCTTTACCGTATTCATATAATGAGTATGCTAAGCATGTTAAACCTCTTTTTCATTTCTGGAACAAGTCCTGCTTGGTCAAGCAAGATTCATTTTCTAATTTACTGCTGAATTTGATTCACTAATATTTTACAGTTTTTTGGTTTTGTGTCTATATTCCCAAATGGAATTGATTCATTGTTTTCCTTTTACTTTGTTCTTTTTAAAATCAGATTTTGTTCTATACAAAGTCAAAGCATAGTAAAAAAAAATAATAATAGGCCGGGCGTGGTGGCTCAAGCCTGTAATCTCAGCACTTTGGGAGGCCGAGACGGGCGGATCACGAGGTCAGGAGATCGAGACCATCCTGGCTAACACGGTGAAACCCCATCTCTACTAAAAATACAAAAAACTAGCCGGGCGAGGTGGTGGGCGCCTGTAGTCCCAGCTACTCCGGAGGCTGAGGCAGGAGAATGGCGTGAACCCGGGAGGCGGAGCTTGCAGTGAGCTGAGATCTGGCCACTGCACTCCAGCCCGGGCTACAGAGCAAGACTCCGTCTCAAAAAAAAAAAAATAATAATAATAATAATAATAATAATAGAGAAAGAAGGAAATACAGATCATAAAGTCAGATTTTTGTATTAAAATTATAATGAGTGAAATATAAAGTAAATGAGAAATTTTTCTTCTTTTCCTGTGATCTGCCACAGTTTGAGTAACATGAAAATTATATTTAAGGCGGGCGGGGCTCAGCTGTATCCAGCATTTGGAGGCCGAGATGGCGATCACGAGGTCAGGAGATGGCATCCTGGCTAATGGTGAACCCGTCTCTAAAAAAAAAACTAGCGGGGGGGGGGGCGGTCCAGCTCGGGGGCTGAGGCAGGAGATGGCGAACCCGGGGGCGGAGCCGCAGGAGTGAGATCGGCCTGCACTCCACCTGGCACAAAGCGAACTCCGTCTAAAAAAAAAAAAAAAAAAAAAAAAATTATATTTTATTAATTGAGACATGTTCTCTAGGGGCAATGCTCTATCATGATGTGCTTCCTAATGTGTATAGTACCACAAAAGTGTTTTCTTGCCTGAATAAACAGCTTCTTTGAAGAAGCTTCTTCTGTAAAAAAGTAATAATAATAATAACACAGGCCACAGAATTTTAACATTTGGGGAGAAAGTACAAATTTAGAGAAAGCATTCAAATTCTTATAAAATCACATCATATTTCATGCTCAAATTATATTTTC